TAGCCTTTATTGTTTAGAATAATATTAGATTGTAGATAGATAGATAGATAACTACATTTATGCCTTCATCCATCCATGGATAATTTGGGTGATTCCTTGTCTTGGCTATCATAAAAAGTGTTGCAATTAATATGAACTATAGGTATCTTTTTGATATAAACATTTCATTTCCTTTGGATATATACCCACTACTGGGATTTCTGGATTTTATGGTAGTTTTATTTTCACTGTTTTTGAGGAAATTCCATATTGGTTTCCATAAGGACTGAGCTAATTTACATTCCCATCAATAGTAATAGGAGTTTCCCTTTTTCCACATCTATATCAGCATTTGCTATCTTTTTGTATTTTTGATTGTAGCCATTCTAATTGAGGGGCAATGATGTTTGATAGTGGCCTTTACTTTCATTTCCATGATGAATAGCAATGTTGAAGACTTTTTCATTTACTTGTTCACCATTTGTACATCTTTTGAGAATGGTAACATCATTTGTCCATTTTAAAATCAATTTTATTTTATTTATGTAATTTTATGTGGCTGAATTGTTTGAGGGTTTTTTCATAATTTAGATATTAATCCCTTGTCAGATGAATAGTTAAAAAAATTTCTCCTATTCTGTGGGTTATCTCTTGACTCCCTTGTTTGTTCCCTTTGCTGTGAAGAAACTTCTCACAATTCCATTTGTTTCTTTCTGCTTTTGTTGGCTGTGTTTTTCAGGTCTTAACCAAAAACTCTTTGCCTATCTCAATGTCTTGGAGTATCTCTTTTATATTTTCTTGTAATAGTTTCATATTTGGGGATTTTAATTTTAGATCTGTGATCCATTTTGAGTTGATTTTTTATATGATAAGAGGTAAAGTTCTAGTTTCATTCTTCTGCATATAAGTATCCAGTTTCCCGGAACCATTTGTAGGAGAGTCTGTACTTTCTCCAATGTATGTTATGTTTTGGCACCTGTGCCAAAAATAAGTTAGATGTAAAACATAGATGGATTTCTGGATTTTGTATTCTCTTCCGTTGGTCCATTTGTTTGATTTTATGTTTAGAATTCTACAGTTTTGTATTATGTTTTAAATTCAGGTATTATAATGCCTCCAGTTTTTTAGTTTTTTATTTATTATTTCTTTTGTTTTGCTTGGATTTTTTTGGCTGTTCTGGATCTTTTGTGACTCCACATGATTTTTTTTCCCTTTTTTTCTGATTATGTGACGAATACCAGTAATATTTTTTATTAAGATTTTCTTGAATCGGTACATTGACTTGGCTACTATGGATACTTTAGCAATATTAATTCTTCCAGTGCATACACATAGTAGGTCTATCCATTTCCTGTGTGTCCTTTATGATTTCTTTCATCAGTGTTTTATCATTTTAATTGCAGTGATCTTTTAGTTTCTTGGTTAAACTTATTTCTAAGTAACTTATTTTTGTCGACATTTTAAGTGGGAATGCTTTTAAATTTTCTTTTTCAGCTAATTTATTATTAATGTATAAAATTTTAGTGTTTTATATGCTTCTTTTATCCTCAAGCATTACTAAATTTGTTTATTAGTTCTAACAGTTTTTTGGTTGATTCTTTACATTTTTTATATAAGACCATGTGATCTGCAAATAGGAATAATTTGGCTTTTTTTCTGACTTCAATGCCTGTATTTTTTTTCTGTTTCCTACCTGCTCTGGACAAGACTTCCAGTACTGTGTTGATTAGGAGTGGTGAAAGTAGGTATCTGTGTTTTGTTCCAGATTTTAGAGGGATTGCTTTCAGTTTTTCCCTAGCTAACATGATATAGGTTTGTCACAACATTGTGTTGTGGTATGTTCCTTCTCTACCTAATTTGTTCAGGATATTTATCATGAAGGGAAGTTGAATTCTACTGGATAATTTTTCTGCATGTATTTAGATGATCATTTGTTTCTTGTCTTCAGTCTTGATGTATTGTACTACATTGAACCAGGTCTAAATCTTTTGAGATAAATTCCACTTGATCATGATATATACTTTATTTAATGTGTTGTTGGATTTGACTTGCTAGTATTTTGTTGGCTGTACATCTGGAATATTGTTCTACAGTTTCTTCTCCTTGTTTTATCTTTGTCTAGTTTTGATATCAGGGTAATGCTGGCTTTATAGCATGAGTTTGGCAGAATCCCTCTTTTTAATTTTCAGAATAACTTAAGAAGAATTGGTATTTGACTTTTAAATGTTTTTGTAGAATTCAATAGTGAAATCATCTGATCCTAGACTTTGCTTTTCTTTGTTAGGACACTTTTTATTATTGCCCAATCTCATTACTTCTTATTAGTCTTTTCAGATTTTCTTTCTTCATGGTTCAATTTTAGTAGGTTATATGTGTTGAGAAATTTATCTATTTTTAAGGTTTTCTAATTTGTTGGAATATTTGCTCATAGCAGTCTCTAATGATCATTTGAATTTCTATGTCATCAATGGTAATGATTCTTCTTTCATTTCTGATTTTATTCATTTGTGTTTCCTCTCTTTTCTTCTTAGTTTGACTCATTAAAGGTGTGTTGATTTTGTCGTTTTAAAAACCAACTCTTGTTTTATTGATCTTTAGTAGTGGCTGTTTCATTTCATTTCTTTCTTTCTTTCTTTTTTCTTTCTTTAATTTAAATCTTTCCTTTACTTAATTTCTTTATTTTAATTTATTTCTGGTCTGATCTACATTACTTCTTTCCTTGTACTAATTTTAAATTAATTCTTTTTTGCTTTGCTAGTTCTTTGAATTGCAGTGTTAGGTTGTTAGTCTTAATTTTTTTCTGAGTTCGATGTAGGTGCTTATTCCTATAATTTACCTCTTAGTACTATTTTTTCTCTGTCACATAGGTTTTACTATATTTTGCTTGCATTTTCATTTATTTTGAGAATGTTTTTAATTTCCTTTTTCATGCCTTCATTGTCCCAAGAGTAAATCAATTTCTAAATTCAATTTTTGAAGTTCATCTTTGTGGATTCATAGCATTTTTCTATTGCAATCAGAAAAGCTACATGATACTATTTCATTTTTTTAAACTTCTCATGTCGTATTTTGTGCTCTAACATATGGTCTCTCCTAGAAAGTGTTCTGTGTGTTTATGAGAGGAATGTGAATTCTGTAGCTGCTGGATGACATATTCTGTAAATGTCTATAGGTCATTTTGGTTTATAGTGTAGTTTAACTCTAATGTTTCTTTACTATTTTTATTCTGGATAAAAAGTGGAACATTGAATCGTTGACTATTTTTGCATTGGAGCCTATCTCTCTGTTTAAATCTAATAATGTTTGTTTTACACTATTTATATATAAGGTTATTTCTGATAAGTAAGAATTGATGTCTGGCATTTTGGAATTTGTATTCTGATTATATGTTCTTTGTTCATTTTCATCTCTCTTATTGTTCATTTTGTGGTTTTCTGTATTGATAGTGTTCAATTCTTCTGTCTTTTTCATATGTGTATCTACTTTACCAGTTTGTTTTAATTTTTCATATATTTTCTTGAGAGTGGTTATTGCCTTTTTTCTTCCCAACGTAGGACTCTATACATGGTTTGGTTGGGCTTATCTAGTGATCTCTTTACCTTCTGGGTTATCCTAAGAAAATTAACAACTTTGTGTGATATTAGTGGTTTGAAGTACAATGAGAGTAAATTATTCCTTAAAATTGCTAGGGAAGGCCAACACTTGAAGATTAACATTTTGGGCAGATTTTAAGAGAGTTGGCTTCCTATGCAGGGTGAGAGGAACAGCAGACAAAGACAAATGTCCTAAATGACATGGGTAACGGGTAATGTCTAACTCTACTAAAAGGACAATGTGGTCAAAATCTTCATGAACACAATTCTGTTTTTGGAAAACAAAATATAGTCAGCAAGGAGCCACTGTTTTTATATTCCCTACACCTCGTGGTTGCATGTATTTTACTACTTCCATTACAGGTCCTCAGAAATTTTGTTATAATTGGTTTTGTTGTTCTTCAAGTTGTATTTGCTGTTATAGATCTATTTCTACAAGATTAAAGCCAGTTCCTATCTTTCCTTACCTGATACAGCATTCTTCAAGGCATATGCATTAACTCTATAATTACTTGAAAAGAAATGTTTAAAAAAAAAAAGGATGACAGTGGCAAATGGGAAAAATAGCATCCTATGGATTGCATCAAGATTTTATCTGTTTCTTTGCCATGGCTCATCTGCTTCATAGAAATGTTTTGCAATTAAAATTATGCTGAAGGAAATCTGTTGTTTGGTTTTTGCCAAAAGTGTGTATAACCTTTTCTTTCATTTTTTTAAATCATTATGTTGGAAAGGACATTGAACATTGTAAAGCCATAGTTGTTAAGAAAATCATATTAAATATTGAATGTACATCAACATTTTAATGTTGAATTCTGTACTGTACTGTTATAGAAGAATAGCACAATGCTTTTGATTATCTGTAAAATGATCCTACACTGGGTTGACTGTTTGCATCATATTTTGGCCACATCAGTAATGCTACTTCTCCAAGGAGCTTGGAAATTTTACCTTTAGGAAATTGATATGATAACATCTCTTTGGAGTCATATTTTATTTCAAGTGCTAATTCCTCCACAGTAATGCTTTTGATACTGTGCTCAGCCCTGTGAGTGAAGTGCTAAAATAGCATGAACTCCTATGCGTCGCATAACTACTTTCTTTGTTTTTCTTTTTTCTTCCTGTCCAACCTGTGCTACTGATTCTAAAACCAGAGCAGCACCTAGTAAACTTAAGCAGGAAGTTATACATAAAATAATATCCCAGGAGAAGTAATAGGAGAGGTGATCTAAAGTGATTGGTGGATTCCATGATACTCACTCCAAAGAGAAATTGAACCTACTGTGTGTGTGTGTAAATATAAAAGCAATGATATACAGAGAAAGTACAGAAGGAAGAGAAGAAAGTGGGGAGTTGAGATAGCTGATTTCCAAAGAGAGAGGGAGAGACAGTATCTTAACATTGTGATAATTCAGGCATTGACACGAAATGCTGCCTGCCATTTTGCTGAGCACATTTTTGCTTCATTTCTCTGATGCTGTTTCTTCAAAACCGTAAGAGATTATTCAACTATTTCTGTTAGAGCATTAGCAATATGTCCTTCTTAGATATATTCCATGTTAAAATTTGAATGTGTTTTATCATTTCAACTTGTGAGGTTGAGGGCTGTTTTGTCCTATAAATGTTAAACAAGTATATTCTTATTCTTAAGATACTTCTTTATCTAAATACCCAAGTTTACTAGAATGCTATCTATAAAAATTGGGTATGTTTCAGGGATACTTTAATCCAAAACAGCTTTTAATGAATGTTCTCCATTTCTTCTAGACTTTTTTATAGACTGTTGGTTACTTTTTTGCACAGGCAATATATCCTATGGGTCTCCTCTGTGATGCACAGTTTTTCTACAGAAAAAGCTTGCCTGCATCTTTTAAACCTTAATGAATCTGTATCCTTGAGTGTTGTTTTAGACTATGATGAATCTAATACCATTATTTTTGACAAGTCTGTGGAAGAGGAGAGCTTCTATGGTTGTACAACTATCAAGGTGAGGCACTGAAGTTAACATTTCAGTACTGCAAATAGGAGTGTAAAATTATTTTTAAATAGTAAATCTTATTTTGTATGAGCTGTGGAAGATAGGAACAAAATTTGTAAATTTCAGAGAGGCAAGAAATAAAAGGAAAATTTACATATGCAAAAAAGCTTGTAAAATATTGTCATTCTTGTAGAAAATGATAATGGTATAATTTCTGCATTTTAGACAGTAAAAATTTTTCACAACGTGAAGAAAGGAAATTTTAGGTAAAGGAATAGAGGATAATTTTCCCCTTCTCTGCTCTCCTATATATACAGGTTCCTCAGAAATCCTCTAAAGAGTTGGGCTTTGTGACGTTGTTGGCTAAAGGAGCTACTCTTAAATTCTATGAGAAGAGATCTGTAGCAATTGTTTCAGAGGAGAATGTAACATTTGTGCAGACAGATAAGCCTATCTATAAACCTGGAGCAGAAGGTGAGTCAGAATTTCCACCTCTTTTGTATTATTCATTTTAGGTAACACTCTCCAAATTCAAAGCAATCCAAACGCATAAATTTTACTCTAAAGTTATCCTCCATATAAGTGGATCATATGTTTCTCATTTTATGAGAAACATAATCATTTTATGATTCTTTTGGTCCTCTTGTGCCAGTTATGAAACAGTACCTTCTAATGTTAGTACCCAAATACTTTGCCTTGTAAAAATTTGCCTGACCTTTAAATGGTGTACAAATTCTTGTTCTTGTCTACATAATACAGTGGTTATAAGCATGAAATATGGTGGATAACTTTTGGTCTGAATCATTGCTCCATAATTTACCAATTGGGCAAATTATCCCCTCTTTTTAGGTGGTACTGGGGATTGAATTCAGGGTCTAATGCTTATTTTGCAAGTACTCCATCACTTGAGCCATGCCCCAGCCCTTTTTGCTTTAGTTTATCTTTCTGATAGGGTTTCAGTTTTGCCAAGGGCTAGACTTGGACCATCACCCTCCTACCTGTGCCTCCTGCATAGCAGGAATTACAGTATGGACCACAGTGTCTACTGTGACCCTCCCATCTCTGCTCCTGTGTAGCTGGAATTAAAGACCTATGCCACCACACCTAATTCATTAAGTCTCTCTTTTAGGCCCAGTTATTTCATCTGAAAAGAAAGCAAATGTTTCTTACTTGTAGAACTATTGAGAAAATGAAATAAAATAGTGTCACACACAGTAAAGACTTTATAAATGATACTTATTATTTTCCTTATTATTATTGATAGTCACTGACATAACTGTACATTTAATAGCCTAAGCAAAGTCCTTCCATATTCTTTATTATTGCTGTAAGTTGAAGTTAGCAGAAAGAATACCAGACTAGGATTCCAAATGGTTTGGTTTTATTTTTGGCTCTGTTAATAAATTATTGGTTGTTGTCAAGTAAATTCTGATTTTAATTTTCTCATTTGTGAAATTAAAGGGTGGACAAAGCAGCTACACATCTTATACTGATTAATACTATATATTTCCATGATTTACTCAAAAGAAATTAGAAAATTGAATATAATTTTTTGAGATAGTCTTGGTATGTAGCCCAGGCTGACCTCAAACTCATATTCTTACTGCCTCTGTTCCCTCAGTGCTGGAATTACAGGTGGGTACCAACATGTCTGGCTGAAAATAGAATTCTTATAGTGAGATTTTTTGCTGCATTCTCCCCTGTTCTAGACTTACTAAAGGGTTAAAATGAGTTATGTATACTAAATGATTTAAAATGTTTCTTTTTCTATGGTTGTCCTGGGGGTACATTGTGGCATTTACAAAAATTCTTACATTAAGTATATCCAATATATTCACCCCCTCCATCATCCTCCTTTATCACCTCTTCCCCCATTCCTGGAATAGTTTCAACAGGTCTCATCTTATCATTTACATACATGTGTACATAGTATGTGTACCATATTCACCCTCTTACATTTCCTCGTATCCTCCCACCTCCTATTAGAACCAACCTCCCAGACAGGACTTATTCTGCCCTCTTGTTCTCCAATTTTAGAAAACAAAATAATGACATTTTTGTTTAAGATCGCTACACTGGAAGTTTCTCATGACATTCCATGTATATATATGTATTATAAACTGAATTGGTTCTTCTCTATTTTTCTCCTTTCTACCTTAGTCCCCTTCTTATGGTGATTTCAACAGGTTAAAAATTCTATATTCATTCTTGTATAGGAAGTGCATCACCCATATTCACCTTTTTAACTTCCTTCTTTTACCCACCCCCTCTCATATGTGACCTCTCTTTAGCATGACATGTTTTTCATAATATTGCTGTATTCCACATATGAGAAATAATATAAGGTGTTTGGCTTTCTGAGCCTGGCTAACTTCACTTAAGATGATATTATCTAGTTCCATACATTTACCTGCAAATGACAAAATTTCATTTGTTCATGGCTGAACAAAATTCCGTTGTATATAAATACCACATTTTCTTAATCTGTTCAACCGTAATGGGGCACCTTAGCTGTTTCCATAGCTTAGCTATTGTGAATAATCCTGCAATAAATATGGGTGTGCAGGTGCTTTTGTTGTAAACTGACTCACATTTTTTCAAGTATATCCCTAGGAATGGAATCTGCTGGATCATATGACAGTTCTATTTTTAGTTTATGAAGGAGCCTCCATACTGTTTTCCATAGTGGTGTAATAATTTACATTCCCACCAGCAGCTTACAAGGGTTTCTTTTTCCTCACATCCTTGCCAACATTTGCTGTTGTTTGTGTTTTTGATGATAGTCTTCTAACAGGAGTGAAGTGGAATCTTAGTGTGGTTTTGATTTGCATTTCCTTTATGGCCAGGGATGTCGAACATTTTTTCATGTGTTTTTTGGCCATTTGAACTTCCTTCTTTGAAAAAGCTCTGTTCATTTGCCCATTTCTTCACTGGGTTGTTGATTTTTGGGGGAGCTAAGTTTTTCGAGCTCCCTATATGTTCTTGCATTAATCCCTTATCAGATGTACAGTTGGCAAAGACTTTCTCCCATTCTGTGAGAGAAAATCTCCCACAGAAAAACTCTTCAATTTGGTAGTCATTTCTTTTGTTCTGCAGAAGCCTTTTAATTTCATGTAGTCCCATCTGTCAATCCTTTCTCTTAGTTGCTGACCCATGTGAGGTCTATTTAGGAAGTTATTGTCTATGCCTATTAATTGCTGTGTATCCTCTGCTCTTTCCTGCACTAGTTTCAAAATTTTAGGTCTTGTATTAGTTCATTTTTAGTCAATACTTGTACAGGGAGAAAGACATGGGTCTAGTTTCAGTTTTCTGCATGCAGATATCCAGTTTTCCCAGCAACATTTGTTGAAGAAGCTGTCTTTTCTCCATCATATGTTTTGGGCGCCTTTGTCAAAAGTCAGGTGGGCATAGTTGTGTGGATTTATATCTGGGTCTTCTATTCTGTTCCACTTATTTTCATGTTTGTTTTTGTGCCAGTGCCATGCTGTTTTTATTGCTATGGCTTTGTAGTACACTTGGAAGTCAGACATTATGGTATCTCCAGTGATGCACTTTTTACTCAGTATTGCCTTGGCTATTTGAAGTCTTTTGTGCTTCCAAACGTACTTTAGGGTTGATTTTTCAATGTCTGTAATAAATGACATTGCAATTTTGATGGGGAGTGCATTAAACATGTACATTGATTTTGGTAATGTAGCCATTTTCACAATATTGATTCTGCCAATCCATGAGCATGGGAGATCTTCCCACGTTCTGTAGTCTTCTTTGATCTCTTTGTTTAATGGTTTATAGTTTTCATTGAAGAGGCCTTTCACATTCTTTGTTAAGTTTATTCATAGGTATTTTTTGAGGCTACTGTAAATGGCATTGTTTTCCTACATCCTTTCTCAATCTGTTCATTGTTGGTATATAGAAAGGCTACTGGTTTTTGTAAATTGATTTTGTGCACTGCTTTGTGGTTCTGCTAAAATTAACTGAATTTTATCAATGTATTTTCTAGGAAAATTATGTTTATTTCCTACCACTCATATTTCCCATTTGTACCCTTGTGACTAATTCTGCTACCAAATCTTAAGCTATTCAAGTAATAGGTCTTATCAGCTGATAGGGTAAATGTTTCTGGTTGTAGCAGCATAGTGTCAGCCTTAATGAGGGCAAACCACTACTAACAGGGGCAAAGGTGCAATAAGAGATCTTTCCCAACAGAAGGTAGACTTCAAAGGGTCAAATCAGATTCAGAGATAAAGGGAAAGTAGTGTTCTGTGATAACAGGCTATATATATATATATATATATATATATATATATATATATATATGTCTGTAATTTAAAAAATAATCATACTTGGGGGGAAACAAGAAGAAAAAATGTTGTTCCCTTCTTCTCTTTTCTTTCAGTTCAATTTCGCATTGTGACATTGAATACCCAGTTCAAACCTGTTGATGATTTGGTAAGTTCAATAGTTTTTAATGAAACTTAATCATATGAAGCAACCCACTGCTATTCAAAGCACCTTCAGGAAACATCCATATGCATGAAAATAAGGATCCAAGGTAGAGCATTATTCAGGCACAGCTTCAATGTTAACCTCATATTTAACATGAAGATTTCATTTATAGTGAAATGACTTATACTCCCTTAAGTCTTTTCACCAATAAAGAGAACATGGACTGCTTGGAACCTGCTTTCCATTTCCCACAGGAGGTTTGAGATGTTTCCAAATTTGCAGTGTACTTGGCATCTCTAGCTATAGAAACTTTGTCTTCTGGTGAAAGTGAGGGGTAATTCCAGTGGATGTAATCTTTATGCAGTAATATTTGGCTAAAAGGAATGTACTATTAAAGTATTAATATGCTTTTTTTTGCTCTTTCAGTATCCTTTAATCATAATTCAGGTAAGAGATCTGTTTGTCACATACATTTTTTAAAATGTTCAAATAAAGAATGATGTGTGTTAGTTTCATTTTTGCATAATTAGAAATTAAGATGACTGAAATAAAGGGAGAAGTCTATGTGCATATATAATGTAAGGTATCAAATGAAGATAGAAATAAAAGTCTGTTGTTCTTAGTGTAGACTGTAGGTCAAATACAATAACTTGTTTTTTATGGAACACAAAAGATTGGACTCTTTCTAAGGCAGGTGTTTTTGAAATTACTTAATTTTAGCTGATAGCTCATCTCAATCTTAATAAAGTCACATCTTATTCTAAGGACAAAAAGAACACAACTTAAAAATTTAGAAATTTTGAAAGCATTAGAAGGTAATATTATTATATAAACAAATACTTTGATTTCAGAAAATTATTTTTTTTTGATCTCTTGCACTATACAAATTTTTTTTTCTTTTATTATTCATATGTGCATACAAGGCTTGGTTCATTTCTTCCCCCGCCCCCACCCCCTACCTTACCACCCACTCCGCCCCCTCCCTCTCCCCCCCACCCCCTCAATACCCAGCAGAAACTATTTTGCCCTTATTTCTAATTTTGTTGTAGAGAGAGTATAAGCAATAATAGGAAGGAACAAGGGTTTCTGCTGGTTGAGATAAGGATAGCTATACAGGGCATTGACTCACATTGATTTCCTCTGCATGGGTGTTACCTTCTAGGTTAATTCTTTTTGATCTAACCTTTTCTCTAGTACCTGTTCCCCTTTTCCTATTGGCCTCAGTTGCTTTAAGGTATCTGCTTTAGTTTCTCTGCGTTAAGGGCAACAAATGCTAGCTAGTTTTTTAGGTGTCTTACCTATCCTCACCCCTCCCTTGTGTGCTCTCGCTTTTATCATGTGCTCATAGTCCAGTCCCCTTGTTGTGTTTGCCCTTGATCTAATGTCCACATATGAGGGAGAACATAGGATTTTTGGTCTTTTGGGCCAGGCTAACCTCACTCAGAATGATGTTCTCCAATTCCATCCATTTACCAGCGAATGATAACATTTCGTTCTTCTTCATGGCTGCATAAAATTCCATTGTGTATAGATACCACATTTTCTTAATCCATTCGTCAGTGCTGGGGCATCTTGGCTGTTTCCATAACTTGGCTATTGTGAATAGTGCCGCAATAAACATGGATGTGCAGGTGCCTCTGGAGTAACAGTCTTTTGGGTATATCCTTAAAAGTGATATTGCTGGATCAAATGGTAGATCGATGTCCAGCTTTTTAAGTAGCTTCCAAATTTTTTTCCAGAGTGGTTGTACTAGTCTACATTCCCACCAACAGTGTAAGAGGGTTCCTTTTTCCCCGCATCCTCACCAACACCTGTTGGTGGTGGTGTTGCTGATGATGGCTATTCTAACAGGGGTGAAGTGGAATCTTAGCGTGGTTTTAATTTGCATTTCCTTTATTGCTAGAGATGGTGAGCATTTTTTCATGTGTTTTCTGGCCATTTGAATTTCTTCTTTTGAGAAAGTTCTGTTTAGTTCACTTGCCCATTTCTTTATTGGTTCATTAGTTTTGGGAGAATTTAGTTTTTTGAGTTCCCTGTATATTCTGGTTATCAGTCCTTTGTCTGATGTATAGTTGGCAAATATTTTCTCCCACTCTGTGGGTGTTCTCTTCAGTTTAGAGACCATTTCTTTTGATGAACAGAAGCTTTTTAGTTTTATGAGGTCCCATTTATCTATGCTATCTCTTAGTTACTGTGCTGCTGGGGTTTCATTGAGAAAGTTCTTGCCTATACCTACTAACTCCAGAGTATTTCCTACTCTTTCTTGTATCAACTTAAGAGTTTGGGGTCTGATATTAAGATCCTTGATCCATTTTGAGTTAATCTTGGTATAGGGTGATATACATGGATCTAGTTTCAGTTTTTTGCAGACTGCTAACCAGTTTTCCCAGAAGTTTTTGTTGAAGAGGCTGCTATTTCTCCATCGTATATTTTTAGCTCCTTTGTCAAAGATAAATTTCTTTCTCTCAGAAAATTATTAAAGAAATCTCTCCCAGTTTGTCTGGAATAGTATAGCCTTCAAACCAACTTGAAGTCTGATGCTTATTAGCAAGTAACTTATATTTATTTAATGTGCATTTTTATTTTATACATACAGTTGCATGTATGTTTTGCTCTATCATTATTATTAGTTAATTCTGAATGTTAATGCACTGATATTTGGGTTTGTCATTAACAATTATGTGTGAGTGTGTTGTGTGTGTGTGGGTATGTATATCAAATCATCCCTTTATGGTTTGAATGTTTTTAACTTTTTATATGAGTAACAAATAGCTCATCCATATAGTAAGGCAAATTTCAGGTCAGCTATTTCATTTCCATTTAATTTTATGTTTATATCTGACTCCGCTAATGTTGTTTCATTGAAAGTAACAGAAAGCTTCACTATCACTGGCTTAAATGAGTAAAAGATTTATTGTTTTCCCAAATCATCAAGGTTACAACAGCACACTCAGTATTAACAAGGACCTAGGCTTCTTCTCCTTAACCTCCCTGCCATCCTCATGTGTTGCTGAGTCTGATTCTTTTAGAAAGAATTTCTACCCAGTGACTTTCACCTACATTTAATTGTTCAGTGCATGGACACATGGGTAACCCTAACTGAAAGAAAGTCTGGGAAATTACTTTAGCTTTCTAAACTTTATAGTAGAGAAAAGTAAAGAAAAAAACTTCAAAAACAAGTAGTGAATAATACTTTTGTTTTTTTATAGAGATCTTTTAAATTTGATCTCTTTGATCAGAGTTGAATGGTGTAAAAATTTATTGAACCAGGCTCACATAAACTATGATGCGTTCAAAGCAATAAAGTAGAAAGGGGTGGCACTGTAGCCTTTTTTACCACAGAATTTCTACTTATTGGCTTTTATATTAAGTACATAATCCAGGATCAATTCAAATAGAGACTAAGTAAAAATCCGTGACAATTTTTACAAGTATTTGTCCAAATGACAATTCCCTTGTACACCTGTTAGTGTGAGTTCACACTTGGAGACCAAGCACAATGGTTTTTAACTTTTTATTACTCTGGTTCAGAAAGAGCAAAATCAAAACTGTGCCCTATAAATTATTTTTATATCATTTTTGCTTTTAAGACAGACACACTTTAAGATTGAATTTGAATACATTGAAGAAGTTGTGTTGTTTTAGTGATTTGAGATAATTAGTTCAATATAATGATAGCTCTATTTCGACTTTCAATAATGACAGGGTCCAAAACAAAGAAGGAAAGGAAAATAGGCATATGCAACCTTGGATTGTCTTTATTTCTTCATTACTTTCTAGGATCCTCAACATAACGTGATTTTTCAATGGCAAAATGTAACTTCTTTCCGAAATATTACCCAACTATCATTCCAACTGACCTCAGAACCAATATTTGGAGATTATACAATTGTTGTGAAAAGCAAATCAAGAATGACACAGACTCATCAATTCACTGTGAATAGAAATGGTAACCAACTGCTATGTTTGATTCTCTTATATTAAAAGTGTTCAGAGTAACTGAACAAAACTTTTTAAACTTAGGAAACGTAGGTGAAGCTTGATTTGTTTTTCTGCTCTTTTCCTTTTTTTGGCCTTTGCTCTACTATTATCAAAACTTTCTTGATCCTCAATATATGCCCCCTGTTTTTGTTTGGATCCATGGTCTTTTTTGTTTTCCTAAGAAATATCTCATTTTGTAGAATCCAGATAGTCTCCTCAAAAGTATTTAAAAGATTACAGCAGAAAAACTGTGCAGTTCCAAGGACAAGGAAGAGAAAAAAAGAAAGGGAAAGAATTAATCTATAATGAGACGCCATCATCAATGGTAGAGCAGTATCACACAGAATTGAGGTCAATTGAAACATGGTCAACACAGATGCATGCATAAGAAAACATTGTGCACTGTAGTTTATTCAGCTACATGATTGCAAGAGATTTTGCTCACCAGCACTTGTAGGGTCTGAAGTATATTTCTCTTTGTTTTCAGTGTTGCCCAAGTTTGAAGTTAAGGTCAATTGCCACAAACAATAACTATTTCAGATGATGAATTTCAAGTGAATGTGTGTGCTAAGTAAGTATTCAGATTTCCCCCTGAAGGTAAACAAAAATGTCAAAGATGATAAGACATGAGTTAAACTGAGAAACTTTAATTACTTATATGCTTCCATTACAATTCTCAGAAAATTTTTGAATATTTGAAAAATACAAAAACATAGAAATGAACTGTAATTAGTTCCACCAAATGCTATTAATATTGTAGTTCATTTTCCAAATCTTTTAAGAATATTTTCCATGACTTCAATCTTACTTTTCTATCTATAATACTTAAGAAAGCATTATTATGCCAGTCTTCATCCATTCCAATTCCTTATTACATAAAGATATCTCTATATGGCCATTTCAAATTTACTTAAATATTATTTTACTATATAACATGTAGACTGTTCCATTTTGTTTTCCTAGTAATTAATAATTTTGCAGCAGATATCTTTGTATACAACTGTATAGTAACTTGCTTTTGAATTGAATATTGTTTACTTAAGAAAGATTTCCAGGAGTATTACTAAGATAAAGTAGGTAACATTATTTTAGTCTTTAGATTCTTATATTGTTCACCAAATATACTGTGCCAATATACAATTCCAGTAGCTAGTACCAAAGTACTTACCTCATTCAATTTTACCATCATGGAGTATTTTCATTAAATAAAAAAAAAGAGGGCTGGCGGAGTGGCTCAAGTGGTAGATCTCTTGCCTAGCGAGCATGAAGCCATGAGTTTAAACCCAGTACTACAAAAATAAACAAACAAAAAAACATAACATGGGCCATAGAAAATGGCACTGTGAAATAAGAAAGTTTAAGTTTTAATTTGAACTCATTTGCATCCTTAATATAAAAAATTCTATATGATTTGAAGAAATTTTTATTTTTTAGGAAATTACTTCTAATGCCTTTAAATATTTTTGTGATAGCTTTTCTGAAAGATTTTTCTGGCCTGTTTGGTTTCTGAACTACTCTCTTAATCAATAATTCTGTTATACTGTATATAAACATTTTAAAATGTTAACATTTGTTGAACATTTTACTTTATTGGTGACCTAAAAATGAGTAATATTTGAATATTTTAACTGTACATTAAGATACATTGTGTAAAGGGCTGTTTAATGAACATGTGAGGGTAGCTCTTGAGAATGTCCCAAAGAATCTTAAAAACTCTTCTTCGTTCCTTCCTTTCTTCCTTCCTTCCCTTCCCTTCCCTTCCCCTCCCTTCCCTTCCCCTTCCTTCCTTCCTTCCTTCCTTCCTTCCTTCCTTCTTTCTTTCCTCTCTTCTTTCCCTCCTTTCTTTTTTTCTTGGTAGTATTTAAAATCTTTGGATTCTGGGAAAATGTTTTGAGTTTCAATGCAGAGTATTGGAATGTATTCCAGAATTTAATATATGTGAGATTATAGATTATCTATGTTAAAAATAAATAAGCAATGGATCCGAGACTGGCTCCACTAGAAGAATCCTACATGAGCCAAAATTTCCAATGCCATTAAAAGCTCTAATTTATTTTTCTGTACAGTACAATGCTAACAAAGCTTAACCCACAGATTAGTAAAGTCAAAATCTTTTTCCAGGAAGGCCTGCAAAAACCACTTGTAGACCAAACACTAACATGGAATTGACTGTTTCTTAACATTATTTTTGTTTATAATCTATTGACTTCTTGAATTTTCTATAACATTACATTCCAGATAGATTTGGCAGTAAACTCTAAATCAGAAATAGTATCCTGCTAAACAGCAGGATATGTTATGGCTGAGCAGGCTGTGAAAGAATGATGAAGTCAGTGTGTCTAGATGTTCACATCAGTGAATAAATTGCCTAGTTTATACAAAAAAAAAAAACTAGCTGTGCATGGTCTCATTTTCCCAGGGATTTTGTTTGGAAAAGTTAGAGAAAACAGCAGTGAATTTAGCAATCTAGGAAATGAATTAAGCTTTTAAGAGGGAAGAATATTTACCTTCAGGAAATGAAATTTTAATTAACTCTGTTAGTATCCACCAAAAGCTGTTCACATCACCAACAAAAAAGGATGTTATTGTGTCCTGCATGAAGATGCAATCTGTATGTTCCAGGGGCATGTGTTAATCTATAGATAATATCGTAGTAAAAGTTTTGTTTTATAACGAGATTGAGCACATTCAGGGTGCTATAGCCACTGAGTTTTAAAAAACTGTAAGAAGAAATATATAAACTCACTTTAATTTCTGTTTTACATGTAATTGATAATCAGAATAAACAGACAGTTTTAGTGATATAGATTGAATCAAGATCCTGAAAGCATGAAGTATTTTTAAACAGAAACTGTTTAGTAGAATGGAAGGAGCAAAGACTGGAGTGAAGCAGGTGTGAATCTGAAGTTTAGTTTTGTCAATTGCAGTGTCAATTGACAGAACTACTTGATCTCAGTTCACTAAGCAAGGTCACTGGAAAAAAATAATGTAAGTATACATCTGACATATACCCGTGTCCAACAATTCATGCAAATGTATTATAATCTGTAAGTTTGATTATATCCAGTTTTATTAACTACTTTTATATTTGTTTTTCTAAATGTAAGTGGAAAGAATTCTCAAGTTAAAAAAAAAGTCATATTCTCCAGAGTTGTCTTTGGTTAAACTTCTTTAAAAAATCTCAAATTGTAGTTCTTTGCGCTTTAAGAGAAAAAAGATACTCATTCAACCCCACCCTATAATGTATCATACTTTTGGTCAAAACAGCCAGTTTATGTCAATCCCCATACCTTTTAAATTTATTGAGTGATAAAATGAGAATTGCTTAAAATATTGATCTAGTGTGTGATGTCCTCAAAGAAAATTTGCCTCCAACTTTGAAGCTGGAAAGTCACTGGACTTTTGAAAAGGAAATAATACATGGCTTTAGATTTTCAGTACATGTGCAAAAAATTGTGTACAAATGGGAATGTCTATGTAATGATCCTCAACACAATAAAATCTCAACTGTGAAAGAAGATAAATAAATAAACAAAATATTGATCTGGAAATACTTCAAGATCCAGTACTTCAAGATCCTGACTCATCCAAGTTTTATTTACATACATATTTATTTACTGCTAATGAAAATATTGTACCTAATTTTATAGTACTTCTATTAGATTAAAATATAATTTAAAAATTTAATCACTAACTTATTCACTTTGATGTTAAATTGGTGCAGTTCTATATAGCTGTGAATTCATTTCTTTTCTTTTTGGAAAAGCAGCCAAGCCCTCATGATAAATAAGATGCCCAATTTTGCCTAAATTCTCTGGAGGGGGCAGCATCAGTAGGTGAGGATTGCTAATTGTATTTGATTTAACTGAGGTATTCATACTTTGGAGCTTTCAAATATGATTTTCTGAAAAAGTTCATAAAATGTTGACATGGTACTGTATGTCAGTAATCATAAGTATGCCCTTTCTACTAGGTACACATATGGCCAATTTGTGCAAGGAAAAGCCCAAATCCGAGTATGCAGAAAATTTTTTGCTCTGCTGAATTGTGCTAAAGACAATAATGAAATCTGTGAGCAATTTATTGTACAGGTAAAAACCATGACCTTTACTACAAAGAAAGTTCTCACTCATTCCATTATTATTTCTTTCTTTGATTTAATTATAAAAAGGGCTTAGCAACACTATTTTATTTTGTGGATTATGGAGGTTGCAAGTAAATAAGGACAAGAATGAGGAGAAAATATAATATTTAAAACTAGACCATGTACATATCTATTTTCTGAAAGGTTTATGGAAATTTTAGAATTTCAAGATCTTACTGACTTCCTTATTTTAAATGTTATCTAGGTGTCTTCCCTGATTTTTCTTTTGAGACTTATTAATCATCCTCTAAACAAATAAGCCCTATAATATTAATATTACTCACTATGCTACCTAGAATTGTCCTGTTAAAAATAATTGATTTGCAAATACATTCAATTCCGAGATTCTATATGTATTGCTTTAGATTTTCAGGGTGTCCTTTTTCTTCCTTCCTTCCTTCTGCTTTGATTTTTGTGGTGCTGAGGATTGAACCCAGGGCCTTGAGAGTGCTAGGTAAGTGTTCTAACACTGAGTGACATCCTCTGCCCCAGCAGTTCATACTTGAAGCCAGCCTTTCTTTCCCCATCAGTAGCATCTTAACTTTAAGTGAACACTCTGTCCATCACTTGGAGGTTGCCTGTGGTCTTCAAAAATGAAATTTGCATATGCTATATAGTTTTTCTTTTAATTCTGATTGTCCTGAAGTTACCAAATTTGGTGAACACCCTCTCAGACAGGCAAAAAACTATCTTTATTCAAGCTAAGAAAGGTCAAGTGAATTTCTTATCAGTAGCACATTGTTCCATTGAGGTTAGAATGGATTTAGTCAACCATTTCATCTACTAATAGGTGTCATTCAGCTCATATTTTAGTCCTCTGTCTGAAAAATATAGCAATAGCAATTCGTTAAAATTATGTTTATGTATGTGATAGTGTATTTATTTGAAATAGATTAAACTTATATGAGTTTTCTGAACCAAAGGAGGTATAGATACAAAATTAATTTTTGGTTATATCTAAAGTAAGAAATTTTGATTTTTCCCAAATAAATATTGAGTTCTGTTAGCACCAATCTAATACAATTTTGTTCAAAATATGCATATGAAAAGTTCACGTATTTTACCACTCTTTATCATTTTTTAACCTTATATTGTTTTTGTGTTCATAATCATTTATTTTAATGTTTATCTTATTAATTTGTTTTTCTAATATTTTTAGTCCATTTTTTAACATATATGATCATTTCTCAATATCCATGGGCAATTGGTTCTAAGACCCCCAATGATATGAAAATCTAGGGATTTTCAAGCCCCCTATGTAAAATGTATGAATTTGCATATGACTTATGCTCATCCTCCAGGATGCCTAGAATCATCTCTAGATTGCCTGTATTATCTGATACAATGTAAATGTGATTTAAATTGTGGTTATACTATACCATTTAAGGAATAGCAAAGAAAAAGTCTATATATGCTTGATACAAATATAATATTTCATTTTTATCTCTGGTTGACTGAATCCAGGATGTGAAACCTATGGCAATAGAGGGATAGCTACATCAGGGTTTCATTTGGCACTAAATAAATTCAATGTTTATATTTTTCTTTAACCACAGTTTGACATCATTTGATGTAAAACATTTTTCACTTTGTCCTGATGTCCACATTACTGTTGCTTTATTTTATATTTTCTCTTTGATTGAAGGATTACTGAAAAAATGTTTTTCTCTTCATTTCAAAGTCATTAAGGCTCGCCAGGTCACTTTTGATTATTGTGTTTTAATTTGACTGTATTAGAATTAGACAGAGAAGATTTGCTGATTTTGAACTTGTTGATGTTCCGGTTGACAGTTTACAGGAGCACGTACTCTGGAACCAGAACACCTAGTTACCTTCAGCACCTTTTAGTTGTATGACCTTGGCATGTTATAGAAGATTCCTGTACCTCAGCTCATTCATTCATAAAATGCGCATAATAATATGCCAGAAGTATCATATGTTAGTTTTAAAGATCAAATTAATTGATATATCATTCTATCATTTAAGATTTGGATTTAATAAATTTTTTTACCTTAAAATGTAGCTAAATCTATTTTTTCCATTTTTGATAGTATTAGTGAAAGATTATCTGTAGATTTTCCTTTATTTTAAATAAACAATTGATTTTAAAAGCATTTATTTGGATGTGACACATCTGAAGTGCACTTCTGATCCATCTGTTCTTAGTGCCTCTCATGACAGTTTTCTTACTCTTAAAATAGCAGTCAGCTGTTTCCTTCCTTTTAATCTCTTCCCATCTACACCATTTCCAGAATTTCCTTGGAATCTGTAAAATATGCATTACTTTCCTTACCTTGTTTGATATGCTTCCACTTCTTCCCCCTTTTATTATTTAAATTATTTCTTTTGTTATTTCAACAAGTTTGCAAGGTAGAGCTGGAAGGGAACACATTATATACCTGTGCTAAAACTACACAAGACTCTTAGATCATTAATTTTTTCATTATACTTTTTCCTTTTTCTTTTTAGCTGAAAAATGGCTGTGTTTCCCACATTGTAAATACGAAAGTCTTTCAACTCTACCGCTCTGGATTTTTCATGATGTTTCATGTCAACGTAGTTGTTACAGAATTTGGGACAGGTAATGATTGTTTTTTATGGACAACCTGGGGGTACATGGCAAGAAGTTTATTGAGTCTGCATAGTGTACAATATACTTATCAATTATTGTTCCAAACAGGTAAAGTGAAATACCTTTGCCAGTAGTTCAAGTTGAGGGTTTCTTTTGGATGAAATTTTCCTAATCATATTTAAAATAAAATAATAACATAAATGCTATATGCTAATATCTGCTTCTGTGGCTGCCTAAACCAGACAAACTTCCCTTTGAAATACTAGAGCTCAGCTAATAAATCCTCTCTCTTTTTTTAACTTCCTGCAAATCTGCTGATAAGCAATCTCCAGAATTTAATCTCTGACTTAATTATTGGAATAATATCAGATTCTTTATAGAAAAAGTTTGCCAATAACTGGAACATTTTCGAATACAAAAATTATTTGTGAGTAATTTACAAAATTATACATAGTGCATGCTCAATAAATATTTATTTAAAAATGAAAAATAAAGAAAAGTGAGGCTTAATTTGGGTTAGGGGAACAAGGTTCAATTGCTAATTATTTCTTGTTAGTTAAAGAAGGGTTGGAAATATATTATCTATAAAGTGATTTATATAGCTATACTTGATAAATATTGTGGTAATTCACAGTGGTCAGTATGTCACACTTGTATTGTTAAAGAAACTTAGCTAAATATGTTTAATTCTGCCCATTCATTTTGTTTGTTCACACCATAATACATTATAGTTTATTTTGCTATCAGATAATCTTCAAATCTGGTAAAAGTTTAAAAGCTACACAGTTATCTTCCAGGCTCAAGAAAGATTTCAGAAAGCAAATCCTTGTAGTTAAGATGTCTATGACATTCTTATCATAAAGAAAATTAGAAGCCAGAACTGAGTACATTGGCAAGAGGGAATTTAAGAAGTTTATCTTCTGCTTTTGTGATTCAAATATTTTCATAGCAATGTCATTATTTGGCTTCACTGTAATTAGAATAAGAGGTAAATTGTGCTACAACCTTCAAACCATCCACACTTCCTTTTCAACATAGAATAAAAGATACAAATCTGAGTTTAGAAAGTTCTGTCATGTGCCAACTGTGATGGCTCAAGCTTGTAACACAGTTTTTTGAGAGACTGAGGCAGGAGGATGGTGAGTTCCAGCATGGACTACATGCCAAAGAAGAGAAGCGGGGAGAAAGGAAGAAAAGGGGGGGAGAAAAAGAGAGAGAGAGAGAGAGAGAGAGAAAGAAGAAGAAGAAAAAGAAGAAGAAGAAGAAGAAGAAGAAGAAGGAGGAGGAGGAGGAGGAGGAGGAGGAGGAGGAGGGGGAGGAGGAGGGGGAGGAGGAGGAGGGAGGAGGAGGGGGAGGGGGAGGAGAAAGAAAGAAAAGGAGGAAGGAAAGAAGGAAGGAAGGAAGAAAGAAAGAAATTTTCTCATTTGCCTTAAGTTGTTCTCTTCAGTGTGTGTGTGTGTGTGTGTGTGTGTGTGTGTGTGTGTGTTAGGCAATGACTGCAGTTGAGCTACATCCTCAGTCTTGAACTCTGTGATCAAATGCTTAATTCCTTCCTGTAACTGTATTTCTGTGTTTCATCATTTCTTACAGGTGTGCAGATTAGCAAAAAGACCTCTATTTTTATCACCTCATTGCTTGGCAGTGTGAGCTTTAAGAATGTGGACCCTTTCTACAGAAGAGGGATTTCTTATTTTGGAACTGTAGGTTTGACCAAAAAACAAACAAAAAAGTCCCTACTTCATTTTCTTGAATCTTACTTTCGAAAATTCTACACACTTTTTTCCTCCATTCTTAATACATTGTTAGCATTACTATGTCTGATATATTGGAAAAGTTTTGTGCTGAAACAATACATAAAATTATAGCTGTTTCCATTATAATATGTGTGTGCATTTGTACGTGTATGTGTGAGTGTATGCACACACATATATTTAATAGAGTGTATGCATGCATACATATATACACACTTAATTCAGCATCTTTTTATTGGAATTTAAGAAAATTACTATTAAATGATCACAATCATGTATAGAAAATTCCTGTCTGTAGAAATGTGAAAATTTGTATTTTAATAATATTAACACTTCTTTTTTTGTGCAGCTTAAATTCCGTGGTCCCAATAATGTCCCTATGGTGAGCAAGTTGTTGCAGTTGGAGCAGAATGACAAATTTGTAGGAAATTACACTACAGATGAGAATGGTGAAGCTCAGTTTTCCATTGACACTTCAGACATATTTGATCCACAGTTCAACCTGAAAGTAAGACATCAAAGAGGGAAAAGAGAGGATCCTCCCAAAGAGAATTTGAACTTTAGGGATTTTGAACATTAGAAATTTCCTAAATGATAACATATTTTATATAACTTCCTTGTTCATTAAATATGAACATACTTGTCCAAGATGTCTATTAAAATTGTTATAAATTCTGCAACAAGCAGTATTTTCCTCTGAGAAACTACAAGTAGCTTATGAAGAAAAATTGAGTTTTTCCTTAGATCATTTCACAACTAAATAAGGGAGGTATTGTGATTTCTCTTTGCATTTAAACAATTTGTCCAGGTTCCAATGAAGCTGAAAGAAACAAGACTTAAGTCCAATTCTCTGACTTCAATTAACAAATAAAAAAACAGAACAATTCATTGTTAGTCTAAGAAAATAGTCATGCAAGCATAGCAATTTTTTATATATAAAAAGAGAGGAGTGCTATTATTATTTTGCTAAAAGCTAAGATTTCATTATGACTTGAAGAGATAAAAAGCCTTAACTTACTGTACTCTGGCTTTGGAGATGTTTATATCTCTAAGATCTTTTTTTAAATTTAATTTATTTTTATTGTTGTGATGAGTGGGTACATTGCAGCATTTATAAAAGTTTTTACAATATATCAAATATATTATACTTGAGTTCACCCCTTCCACCATTCCCCTTTATCTCCCACCCCCATTTCTGGAAGTTTCAACAGGTATCATTTTTCCGTTAGCATACATGTGTACAAAGTATTTGTACTACATTCATCCTCTTACACTGCCCTTTCCCTACCTCTTCCCATCTCCCATTGGTACCAACACCCACAGGCAGGAACTGAGAATATCATCTTAAGTGAAATCAGCCAGGTTCAGAAAGCCAAAAGCCACATGTTCTCTCTCATATGTGTAATATAGACCCAATACAAATACAGCAATATTGTGAAAGACAGGTCATGTTAAGGGGAGGTCACATATGAGAGGGGGAGTGATAAAAGAAGAAAGTTAAGAAGGTGAATTTGTTGATGTACTCTCTGTAGAAGAATGAATACAGAATTTTTAAACCTGTTGAAATCACCATAAGAAGGGACTAAAGTAGAAAGAAGAAAAATAGAGAAGATTAACCACTTTCCATATACATGGAAATATCACAGGAAATACCTTGTGTAGCTATTTTAAGCAAAAATATATATAATTTTTTTCCATTTACAAAATAACCCTAAGATCTTTCCCTTTCTTTTATCATGTCAGGCCACATATGTTCAACCTCCAAGCTGCTACCTCCCTAGCTGGTTGACACCTGAGTATTCAGATGCCCACTTGTCTGTCTCACGCTTTTACTCCAGAACAAACAGCTTCCTGAAAATTGTTCCAGAATCGAAGCAGCTTACATGTAACCAACAGAAGATTATTACTGTACTTTTCTCCCTAAACAGTGAAGCTTATAAGGGTGACTCAAATGTAAACTTCTTCTATTTGGTAAGTCTTATTTGGTAGATTCTTGGCAATCCTGTCTAATTGTGTACAATACAGTTTAGAAAACATATATCTGTCAAGCCAGGTCCACAGCTTCTCATTTCACTGGCGAACATTGTTGGATCCATTGAGAACAAACAGACAATCAAGTGAGCTCATAAAATGATCTCAGGCAACTTAAATTTCCCTAAGATTGAAAAACTTGCTTTTGAGAGTGATTTTTAATCATTCAATTGTAGCTCACATCAAGTATTTATAACCTTTGTGATAACAAAGTATTTCCCTATGCAACAAAATAAAATGGAAGACTCATTTTGATAAGCAGTGCAAGACACTGGCTATTTTGGTTCTATCTATTTTGTCTCTTCAAGGCATATTGAACAGTGAAAACACAGACTTGGAAATTAATTCATTCCTAGTGTAAATCCCCCATATTATCTACCCTATTCAAGTTTGTCCGTCTTAGAAATATTTCTTAAGCTCTCTAGGACTTGGTTCTACCAGCTGTGTATTTCTAGTTGGAAATACTAAGACTTGCCTCCTAGGGTAAGTATTATTTGTTAAAGAGGTTCAGATGTTTAACACACTTATCAGTCTTATGGATATGCCATTTCACAGATCATGGAACAGAGGCAAAAAAAGGACACAACTTGTCTTAAATCACAGAGCTAATGAGGAGGTAAAGGTGTATTTGAAGACCGACAGGCTGAACAAGCTACTGCCTTGCACAGTGTAGTGGACAGCATTCATGAAGTTTCTTGTACCTACTTCATAGGTTCTTAATTCCTGTGGTCACTTTCTCTGTTCTTCTCCAACATGTGCAGAGTTCACTTTTAGTATTTATTTGTGGATTCTATCATATCTTATGGAACAGAACTGTCACTGGATAATTCATTAAATGACAGTATGATAAGACATTGGATAACATATCTCATATTGTGTTTTTTTTGTCCTGCACAGGTATTGGTAAAAGGATCTATCTTCCTTAGTGGACAAAGGGAGATCAGAAACCAAGGTATATATAATACTTTCACTTATTTATTTGTTTGTTTATTTTGGTGGTACTGGGAGTTAAACTCAGGGACTCGTGATTGCTAGGCAGGCTCTTTATCACTTGAGCCACACTCTAACCCTTTTTGATTTGGCTACTTTTCAGATAGGATCTCATATTTATGCCCAGATCACCCTAGACTGCAATCCTCCTATTTATACTTTCTGAAAAGCTGGGAGAACAGTGTACACTACCACACCCACCTTTTATTGGTTAAGATGGAGAGTCACTAACTTTTTGTCACAGCTGGCCTCTAACCATGATCCTCCCAATCTCCATTTCCTAAATACCTGGGATTGCACGCATGAGCCACCTTCCCTAACCTAAATATTTTAATAAAGGAGTTTTTGACCTCTATTATTGTCAGGTCATAAAACATGTTACAGAAAAGTGATGTCCAAAACCCTTGTATTACAGTTATCTAAATTATACAGTCTTCTTTATTATATATGCAGTTCCCACTGTTTGATTTATTTGCTTTTAAAACAAAGACCAATTTACTCTTTCGATCCATAAGCCATTTTCTTTTATCTAAATGTACTCAGAGATATAGAAATTACTGCATCATGTCATGTGATTGATCTGTTTACACAGCCTGGAATGGAAACTTCTCCTTCCCAATCACCATCAGTGCTGACCTTGCTCCCTTGGCTGTAGTTCTTGTCTACACTATTCACCCCAGTGGGGAAATTGTGGCTGACAGGGTCAAATTCCAGATTGAGAAATGCTTTAAAAACAAGGTAACATTTCTTCTATTTCTGTCCTGTCCTGAGAAAGCATGGTGAATATTTTTCCCTGTTGCCTCCTTATCTGGGCCCCATAAGCTTTACATGGTAATCTCACAATAAATGTTGGGATAGTTAAATTATTAGGATAAAAGAATCTCCAAGTAGAACGAAGATCTTTGGCAATAGTGCTAGCTGTGGGGTAAAGGAGATGTCTCTGTGAAGAGGGTTGAGAGTAAGAGGGGGAGAGAGAAATAAATAAGGAAATCTGTCAGGGTTTATTTAGAAAAGGTTGCATTTATTCAAATTATCTTCATATAAATTTATCTTTGCTGTATTCTTTATCTTTCTCTACTTCAGGTTAGCATAAAGTTCTCAAAAGAGCAAGCACTTCCTGGCTCCAACTCCAATCTCTATCTTCAAGCAGCCCCTGATTCCTCTTGTGCCCTCCGGGCTGTGGATCAAAGTGTCCTCCTACTGAAACCAGAGCAAGAGCTGTCAGCTGAAAGCGTAAGCTCTGATTCCCTCAGTTTCCTCACTGCTATTGGCATTGCAAATCTTACCCTTCATATGATGCTGAAAATATCAAGTATTTTCTTCCTGTTTGCTTTCAGGAGTTATTAATTATTACCTATTTATCCACTAAGTTATTTTTCTTAGATAATTATAACAGGTTAAGAATTTTACAGCAATGTGACTTTTCTTAAATTATAGGTATCATAAAAGGTAGACACATAGAACTAAAAGAAATCTCTATGTTGTAGGCTGTACTTGGATAGTGTCTAAAGTTATCATCTGACATTACAGATTAAAATAATCATAAACTTTTCCAGGGTTAGGGTGCAGCTCAGGTTAGAGCACTTGCCTAGCATATGTGAGGCCCCAGGTTCCATCCCCAGCACTGCAGAAAAAAATTTCCAGACTAGCAATTCCAGAATTTCACACAAAAATATTTTAGTTCATAGTTATTAGACATTTCCCCTCTACTTTTAACACAAATACATATAAATAGCAGTAGAAGCTTCTATTTAAGTTTAATTCACCAGTTATTTAATTTTTTTCTGATTACTAAAATTATACCTGTGTGTTATAGATCATGTGCAAGATACATCAAAACATAAAAAAGCAAATCTTTCAAATCACTCATAATCTTAACACTTGGATAATTCCCCATTTTTGTCACAATTTTGAAAATCTATTTTCTGGAGGCGTATGTATTTTATAAACTTGAGATCCCACTAGATAATCCAATTTTGTATTCTGCCTTCAACAGTCTACCATAAGTGTTGTTTTAAATATAAAGTCATAAAATAGATTAGTAACAATACCTTAATAACCATAAATCATAAGATAAGCTGTATATTATTACTAATATAAAACTGAGATACATTTATGGTTCTTATCAGATGGAGCTAAGAAGCTCCTAAATAACATTAGAATCTGGAGAAGCATCGGCAAATAAAGGACAAATTTATCTATAAAAGTGGAATATGTATATTTGCATTTTTCCCCTAAGAGACTCCTAGATACAGAGTAAATAGCTCCTGCTCACTCTTCCTACAATTACAGAGAGCAAAATCTTACAAAAACTGCCTTGAGGACAAAACATCAAAGGACCTTAAATAAAAAATTTGAAATGCATTTATGAGTCTCAGAGTCACAAGAGGCTGTCTTTTTTCACACCAATACTCATATGCCCAATAGGGATCAAGTGGTGTTATATAAATGTGTGCCTTCCCATCCATATTGCTAGTTTATCTTTCACACTATCTTATCTAGATAAACTTAATTCTTAGTATTAGATAATTTAAAAAGGAGCAAGAGTTATGCAGAGAATTCCCATATAACCGTTTTTAACAAATTATTTTTTATGTGATGCTGGGGTTTGAACTCAGGGCCTTACACTTGTAAGCAGGCATTCTACCACTTGAGTCACTCCACAGCCCTTTTTGCATTAAATATTTTTCATACGGGGTCTCGCATTTATGCCCAGGCCAGTCTGGGCTGTGATCCTCTTATTAACACCTCCAGCTTGATGGAATGTGAGGCTTGTACTGCCAAGCCCAGCTTTTATTTGAGATGGGGTCAAGATAGGGTCTTGAACACTCTATGTCCTGGCTGAGCTTATCTTTGCCTCCTGAAGAATAGGATCACAGACATATACCACGGTGCCTGGCTCAAGTTCATGAATTTTTAACATTTGCCCCATTTGTTTTCTCTTTTTCACTCTCTCCACCTTATTACACACACACACACACACACATATGCCCACATACATATTGTATATATTTGTATATATCACATCAATTTTTCCTTGAAACCTTTGAGAGTAGCTTACATGTATCATTTTATGTTGCTCTTAATATATCAGTGTCTAGTTCCTAAGCACAAGGATAGTCTACATAATAATTCAGTTGTCAAGTTCAGGATATTTAACATTGATACAACATTTTGGATGTACTCTATCAATTATATACAATTGTTCTCAAATGTCCTCTTTGCCACACTTTTGCTTTCATTTGGTGGAAGAGTCAGGAAAAAAATCATACACTACATTTGGTAGTAATGTCTCTTTAGTTCTCTTTAACCTGGGACAAAGCTTTTCTTTGTCCTTTATGACGCTGGCAGTTTTGAAGAATGTTTTCTCATAGAATGTTCCTCATATGAGATTTGCCTGAAACTGTATGATTAGGTGGAGGCTATGCATGTCTAGCCAGAATGCCACTCAAGTGATACGTGTTTTTTAAAGTATCCCATCCAACAAGATCCATGTACCCATCAGTGGTACATGGTACATGGTACTTTTGATAAAGGTATTTTCCTGTATCTACTGAGTTGCTTTCTCCACTGAACTAGTAATCAGTTTGTTCTTACTAAGACCATGTGTTGGATTGGCAGAATCAACATAGTAAAAATGGTTATACTACCAAAAGCAATCTGCACATTCGACAAATTCCCTTCAAACTCCCAATGATGTTCATCACAGAGATTGAAAAATCTACCCTAAGGTTCATTTGGAAACACAAGAGACCATGAATAGCCAAGGCAATACTCAGCAAAAAGAGCAATGCTGGAGGTATCACAATACCTGACTTCAAACTATGCTTCAGAGCCATAGCAATAAAAACACCATGGTACTGGCACAAAAGCAAATGTGAAGACCAGGGGAACAGAGTAGAGGACCCAGATATGAATCTACACAACTATGCCCACCTTATTTTTGACAAAGGGGCCAAAAACATATGATGGAGCAAAGCCAGCCTCTCAACAAGTGTTGCTGGGAAAAGTGGCTATCTGCTTGCAGGAAACTGAAACTAGATCCATTTCTATCACTGTATTCTAGTATCAACTTGATATTAAGGACCTTAATATCAAACCTGAAACTCTGCAGGGAAAGAGCAGGGAATACTCTGGAAGCAATAGGTATAGGCAAAGAATTCCTCAGTAGAACTCAAGCTGCTCAGCAACTAAGAGAATGGATGGACAAATGGGACTGCATGAAATTTAAAAGTTTCTGCACAACAAAAGAAATGATCTCTATATTGAAGAGATCACACACAAAATGGGAGAAAATCTTTGCTAGCTATATATGAAAGGGACTGATAACCAGGATATACAGGGAGTTCAAAAAACCAAACTCCCCAAAAATCAATGAACCAGTAAAGAAATGGCCAAAAACACATGAAAAAATGCTCACCATCCCTGGCATAAAGGAAATGCAAAATCAAAATTACACTAAGATTCCACCTCACTCCCGTTAGAATATCATCAAGAACACCACCAACAACCAATGCTCGGCAATAGCACTCTTAGGGATATACCTGAAGGAATGTGACTCAGGTTATTACAAAGGCACCTGCACACCAATGTTTATTGCAGTGCTATTCACAGTAGCCAAGCTACGGGAACAGCCAAGATGCCCCACTACTGACAAATGAATTTAGAAAATGTGGTATTTATACACAATGGAATTTTATTCTGCCACAAAGAAGAGTGAAATTTTGTCATTTACAAGTAAATGGATAGAACTGGAGAATATCATCTTAAGCAAAGTTAGTCAAGCTCAGAAGGCCAAAAACTGCATGTTTTCCTTCATATGTAGATTATGGACCTAAAACAAATACAGTAATATTATTGGACATGGGTCACACACTAAGGGGACACCGTGCACAGGCGGGATAGGGAAAGGTAAGGAAATCAAAATCTTGAATGTGGTTGAGGTGCACACTATAGAGGAGCAAATATAGTAATCTTAAAGTGGTTGGGGCCACTATGGGAAGGGGACTAGGAAGTAGTGAAGAGGACTGGTAGAGATGAACCAATGTGGGTTGTAATATACATGCATGCATGGAAATATCACAAGTAATTACCGTGTATAACTAGTTTTATGTCAAACTAGCAAAAATGCTATGTTTTTCTTACTGTCTTTTATGTTTTTTCTTCAACAAAGGTGGGAGGGCAGGAGGAAAGGTGACCCAAATAATGTATACATATGTAAGTAAATGTAAATACAATAAAACAAAAAAAGACCATATGTATATCCTGCTTCTCTTGTTTCCTCCTAGATTATCATTCACTTACAACTCCGGCCTAAACCAGTATTGCTATGCTCACTGAAACATGGTGATTTTCTATTCTCACCTCTTCTTTGCCTATAGACATAAGGATTTCCATTTCTCAATGATTTAAAATTCATTACTAGTCTTTTATGGGCATATTGTCTCAGGTGGATTCAGTGGAGCAATATCAAGTTAGTCTTACATACTTTTCATATCCCTGATCATGTTTGGAATACTTAACAATTTTCTATCTCCAGGTGTTCCAGGCCTATTTTGTATGTTCTTTGTATTTAAAAAGCAGTATTTTTACAGGGAGCTCTTGTTCCTTAGAGTGTGGAATACTGGTTTTCTACTTTGCCTTTTTCATTTACTGGCTATCCAGTTGACACAACACCATCTTTGTTCTGGTGATTTGAGATGCTTCCCTTAAATACAATATTTATATTTGTAATTATGCTTATTTCTGTATGTTTTATTCTATTCCATTGGTCCCTCTTTATTTTCTTGTGTCAGTTCCACAGTGTTTTAATCATAGAGGTTATGTAGTATGTATTCATTTTGGGTAGGAGTCAACTCCTCTGGACTTCCAGCATTCCCTAACCATTTAGTTTCCAGGGTTTTCCTAGCTATACTAGCATAGAGATAGTTTTCTTTCTTTTCATTGTATATACCTCTACTTATTATTAATTTTCAAAATTCTAGTACAATGTAAAACTGCAGAAGGAATAACATCCTTACCATATTCTTGACCTTAGCAGAGGCAGCTGACAGGTATCTGTTTATGGTGCCTTAGTGGATAGCAATTACTCTATAGCTTTCCATCTTTCTTTCATGGAAATTTATCTGTTCAAGCAATATCTGTACTAGTGTCAGTTTCCTGACATTACATTTTCTTAATTAAGGTTTTTATGTGAATATTTCAGATTTATTTTGTTGAAAAGCATGTATTCC